CTAAATTAGGCCGAAATTGAAGTTTCTAGACATAAAACAACTGACTTTAATACGCCATAATGCTTGCATCGAAGAATCTTCGTCCGAGGTTTGCATTAGTCCATGATGTTTTCATGGTAATGAAGATGGGGATAAAAAATTTTATCTAATAAAAAAGGAGACCAAGAAACATTGACGTTTCTATGAGGAAATGCTTGTGATACTAGAACTCATGCCCTGAGCGGTTATCCCATTTTGAAATTGGTTTACACAGCAGCAAATGGTTGTTATGATGGGTTCTAGTGAAACCAATTTAGTCATTGGTAAAGCCGAAGTCAGTGGGGGTACTACTGGGAAGAAATTGAAACCTCGAGAACGTAGTTTTCCTATAAAAAGATTTACTTTTGGCATATGAGAAGGTAAGAAATAGTAAGAGCTGAAATTTTATGGAAGAAAAAGAAGAAGATAGAAGAAGGAGAAAGAAATAGGAAGAAGGGAAATAACTATTGGGAATGGAAAAAAGTCTTAAGGAAAATGGTAATTTCAGCCTTTATTACCGTGAAATGATCTGATGTGTCATTAAAATTACTCTCTCACGCGCCGCCTTGTATCATTTGATACCACTTGTTGTGCCATGTGGCTCTTTGGGGGGTCTAGACTATCAAATAGTAGAGTATCAGGGGTAATTAGGACCAAATTAATCCAGCTGTGAACCGAATGAACAGTGCTAAGTTCAGGAGAGAACTTGTCTATCTTTCGATACAAAAATGAACACAATTTTGTTGAATGAGGGACTTATCATTTAGAATTATCATACTAATTGTAACACTAGTCTGAGGCTTGTTGCTATACATAGCTATGCTGCAGTAGCTTGCAAAAGCCCAACAGTATAAAGAAGATGTGAAAGAAACTGATCCATGACTTTTACTGTCAGTAGATTTACTTATATCCTGATTCAGTTGTATCCAAAATATCAAGCGCTTGCTTTTCAAGAATTGCTAGACTACATAGTTGCACTTCCAGGCTTTCTTCTGCTAGCTTCACCTGCAGTAAGTACTAGAACTTATCCCCTACGCTGCCTAACCCCCCACCCCAGCTAAAAGAAAAAAGACTGCAGTCAGCACTAGAAACAACATGTCATTAATTCATGTTTTACCTGAAAACTATACTCTACTCGGCATTAGGCATCTAGAAACAATGGTGAAGCCAGGAAGTTTGCTAAGGGTATATGTGTATACAACAACAACAACAAAAAAAAATCCAGTATGATCCCAACAGGTGGGGTCCGGGGAGGGTAGTCTGTATGTAGACCTTACCCCTACCTAATGCAGGTAGAGAGGCTATTTCCAATAGACCCTCGGCTCAGGAAGGACAAGAAAAAGAAAAGGAAAGCAAGAAAGGGAGAAAGAAGGAAGAGACAAGAAAAAGGGAGAGATAAAGGATAAGTAGTACTAAATAATAACAACGGGGAATACAATATCTGAAGCGAACAAAACCACATAACGTAATAAAAATCTAAGAATATGAGGAGACATCCATGCTACTAAAACTATTGGTGAACACTAAAAACTACCCACTAACCTTCTACCTTAATCCTCGACCTCCACACCTTTCTATCAAGAGTCATGTCCTCAGTGAGCTGAAGCAGCGCCATGTCCTGTCTAATCACCTCTCCCCAGTACTTCTTAGGCCTACCTCGACCTCTTCTAAAACTCCCCATGACCAACCTCTCACACCTCCTGACAGGAGCATCAATGCTTCTTCTCTTAAAATGTCTGAACCATCTCAGCCTCGACTCTCGCATCTTGTCCTCTACGGAGGCTACTCCCACTCTGTCTCGGATAGCTTCATTCTTAATCATATCTCTCCTGGTACAACCGCACATCCATCTCAACATTCTCATCTCTGCTACTTTCATGTTCTGCACGTGGGAGTTCTTGACTGGCCAACACTCAGCCCCATAGAGCATAGCCGATCGGACCACCACTCGATAAAACTTACCCTTAACAGCTTGTTTGGATGGTTGTTCCCCTTTGTATCGTATTGTATTGTTACCCTAAAACAATATTTGTTTTGATTGTTTCATTAAAATTGGTTGTATTGTATTGTTAAATTCATTGTTCCGGAACAATGAAAAGTTCTCTTTTTTAAAACAACCGATTTGAAAAAATACGACTATGACTATGCAATCATCGACTCAAGAAGTAAAAAAATTTCTATCTCTACTTTCTTGAGCTCTCAGGCACACTCCCCGAGGAGTCTGAGAACAAGGAATCTTGAGAATCCATAAACACCATTAGCATGTTTATTCAATTCCGACCACCCCTCTGAAAACAGCTCCAACAAACAACCTCTCACACGCCGCCACGCGCGGCACTTTCCGGCGAGCCAAACATCACGCGCCGGCGCGTGAGCTCAATCCCGGCCACTTTTCAAAATTTTCGTTTTGGACAGCACGCTCGCTGGGAAATTCCGAGCACATCCATACAATTTTTTTTGAATTCCGACTACTTTTATTTTTTCCGGTGGTGGGGAATCCTTTTCTGTCCAGAATTCTGGTTTCTGTTCTTTTTTTCAAACTTTCTAGCTCACTGTGATAACTTCCAAACAACCCCTAAAATTCCATAACCTGAGAAGCTGATTTGTACAATATGGGAGACAACAGGATATACTTCAACGCAGGATTCAAATCTTTTGACATCACCAGATGGAACTCCAACAAAGACACTTGGTTTGAATGGGTGGAGAGAAGCCGCAACATGATGAGAAGATCATCCATGGGTAGAAAGGCAATGGAATGGATATGCTTTGCACTTAAAGAAGCGTCGACAGATCAAAACAATCTAGTGAAGAGATGGAAGTACAAGGAGCAAATGACAGAACATTTCTGTACTAGGAAATTTAACGCCCATGGAAGATATATGAGTATTCTGTCACTGAAGAGAGAAGGGAGGTCAGTGATTATAATCCCAGAGTTAACTTTGAATTCTGGCTGGAAAGACATAGCAGCTAAGATAGAGAGATTCATATATCAGACCACCAAGTTGAATCCCATAGTACCACCCAGAAACACTGTGGACAATTTCCCTTATGCCCAAGCAGTTAAGGAGAGTAAATGGCAATCCAATACTCTTCGAGAGGCAAGAGTCAGCACGAACAATGGCGATATCTTTGTTTTGGAACCTACTGGAGGTGAGGATACAGGTCTACTAAAAAGATGCATTATCGGGTTTTTTGGGAAAGAAATCAATGAGAGACCCACTTTAGCAGACATAAGGCGATGGGCTAGTGCTTCATGGAACAAAGCATATGGAGTAAACATGTATGAAATGACAGGCAACATGTTTCTTTTTGAATTTCCAAACAGATTCATGGCGGAGCAGATTTTGCAAGGAGAATGGAGATGGAAAAAGTTCAAGCTTCATCTGGAATGGTGGAATCATACTGCTGGATGCATTCCAAACTCACAAATTGAGGAAACATGCTGGATTAGAGCCATGAGGATTCCTTTACACCTATGGTCACAAAAGATCTTCAAAGAAATAGGAGATCTCTGTGGGGGATGGTTAGCCACTGAAGAAGAAACTGACGTCAAAAATCATCTTAAGTGGGCAAGAATCAAAATTGTTGGTGATGGCAGAAAGATTCCCAATGAGGTTGGGATTGAAAGAGACGGTATCAAATTTTTCATCCCAATCTGGGCTGAAAGTCAGACAAGATATGAGCTGAAGACGCAAGAAAACGAACAATGCTTTGAAATAGAGAGAGATTTGAACAATCAACTGGGGTGCACCTTATGGCAAATCAATGATAAAGGAAAGGCAAATGGCCAACTTGCACAAGGCTCGAGTTCGATGAATCAGAGCAGTAAAGTGACAAACAACGAGCTGAAATCCTATGACTCCGATTTAGCTGCACAAGTCATTTTTAATGATCTCTCGTGTGAGTTTTCTGTTGATATTAGGCTGAAGCCTTATATTGAGGAAACGGGAGGACCTTCTTACTTGGGGGCAAAAGAGTCCTCTCTAGGGGATCCAATCTCCATTGAAAATCTTCAAAGTGTGCCAAAGGCAACACTTATCAGTTGCAGTCAACCAGAAAGTGGAGTAGAGATAGCAAGACTGGAACAGAAGGCAGGGGAGCAAAACATAAACACAAATATGGGGAATGATCATGTTGGAAGCGCTTTGGAATATCTAAAGCAATTTAGCTCTATCCAAGATTGGGAAATCGAGGAGGTGAATCCCATAGCAGTTCAGCAACACAATCCAGTAATGGATAAAGACATGGATGCAACACTATGGGTCCATCAAAATATGATCAAATTGGGGAAAATGTTTGGAGTAGATTTTCAAGGCCATGAAGAAGAAGCACTGGAGTTGTTAATGCAAATTGACAGCTGCGGACAGGTAAGAAGGATGGAGACAGAGTTGGAGGTGAAGAAACAAAGATTCAAAGGATCACTGGAATTAAAAGGGTTAACTTCTTTTGATGTCAAATTCAAGAGTGACGGGAAAAGGAGTAGGGGAAGAGATCTATCAATCATTTCAACATGAAGATCAAAGTAATTTCCTGGAATGTAAGGGGTTTAAACGATAAGAAGAAAAGGGAGATCATAAAAAGTCAAGTGCAGAATTGGAGGGCCGACATTATATGCATGCAAGAGACAAAAGTGGAGGGGGATATCGAGGAAATAGTCAGGCAAATATGGGGTGGTAGATGGGTGAGGTATGCAAGTGTAGAAGCTAGCGGCACGAGAGGGGGGATTTTGTTATTATGGGATTGCAGAGTATGGAAAGGGGAGGTGTTACAGACTGGTGCATACACTTTGACTTGCAAGTTCGACGCTCTTTTACAGAATTTTCAATGTCACACAACAGGAGTGTACGCCCCAAATTGTAGAATAGAAAGGAAAAAAGTATGGAGAGAAATTGGTGCAGTGAGGGGATTGATGGAAGGCCCTTGGGCGGTTTGTGGCGATTTCAACGTTACAAGGTACCCTTCTGAAAAACGGGAATGTTCAAGGAGGTCCAGAGCGATGGTGGAGTTCTCGGATTTTATAGAAGATATGAAGTCGATAGATCTTCGACTTGAAGGAGGCAACTATACTTGGTTCAAAGGGGACAATCATACAACGGCTTCAAGAATTGATAGATTTCTCATTTCAGAAGAATGAGATGTAAGCTTCAGAAACATCAAGCAAACTATCCAACAAAGGTTGATTTCGGACCATTCACCTGTGGCTCTATACTGTGGTGCGTGGGAACAAGCTAAATCATACTTTAAGTTTGAAAATTGGTGGCTGAATGTGGAAGGTTTTGATGACAAAATTCGAGAGTGGTGGATATCTTTCGAATTTTCAGGAAGATCTGATTACATTTTAGCTTGCAAGTTAAAAGCTCTCAAGGGCAAGCTAAAAGAATGGAGCAGAA